ATCATCCCCTCCTTCCCTTAGACTCTTTATTTTGTTCTCAAAAGTATTCACAAAGATGTCCTCACTATCTAGAATTCCTAGCTTCTTCTTCCATTCCTTTTGAATCACCATGATTGCTATAGGTTACTTCCTTAACTGATAAGTCAACTTGTTCTCTGTTACATTTGGAAGCATGAAAATATCTTGAACATCATAGGAATGTACAGAGAACTCTTTCATCATGTTAATCTTGAGCATACAACTTTTTTCATTGAAATGATGACAAAGCTATGGAAGCATCTTTGTTGAAACTTTTGTCAGTTTTAGTTCAAGCAAGCCTCCAAATCTAACACTTATGACATCTAATCTCTGTCTCTCACTGAAATCCTGGATCATATCAAATATTGCATTTGGTTTGTAGTGTGTTTTCTTGATGTCCAGATTACCATCATCATCGTCACTTCCTTCTTTAACCTCTATAACTTCTTGTACCTCCTTAGTTGAACTGTTAAGCTTCATTTTCTTCTTTAAATGAGCTTCTGTATTTTTTCTGTCTTTTTCTGATGATCCATCAGATTCTTCATACTTATCTTCTTCTGGTTCATAATTGATATCTTTAATTTCAGCTTTTGTTCTTTTTTTGGTTCCTATAATTTGTTAAACTAGAAGATATTAAAACATTTACTTTTAAAATTAAAATATTCAAGAACAAACAACGTAATTCACAACATATCAATATAACTTTAGATCCTAATACAATAAACTTTTATAAACCTTCTGAAGGTTCTAGTTCTTTAAGCCTTCTCTTTATCAATATTTGCTTTTTTGAAATCCTTTGAAGTGTAGTACCTAATACAGTTAAGTTTAACAATGAGTTTATGTTAATACAAGGAGTATATACATATTAAACATTATTTGCTTTTTTGAAATCCTTTGAAGTGTAGTACCTAATACAGTTAAGTTTAACAATGAGTTTATGTTAATACAAGGAGTATATACATATTAAACATGTTAAATAACTTTTAAAACATATATATTTACTTTATAAGCATTTTTATTTACTTTATTTAACTTATCATTTACTTTTATGATCAATCATGTAGTAGTATGCATCATAATATCATGGACTTATAAAGACAAATGGTTTACTTTATAACTGTTTCTATTTACTTTATAAAATGAATCTTTTAAGATAATATACCTTTAATTGGAGATTGCTTTGAATTTGCAGGTTTCTTTGGAGCTATCTTCTGTGCTGCAGGAGCTTTCTTGGCAGCAGGAGCAGCTTTTTTCCGTGCAGGAGCTATTTTGCTGCAGGAGATTCCTTTTGAGGTTTTTTTGCAACATTTTTCTTTGTAGTTTTCGTCATTTTAATGTGCATGCAATTCAAAACAAAAATGAATCATGCTTTCTCGATTTATACTTGATGGTTTTACACTGCCTGATATATATACTTTCAAATCAACTCTTGTTATTATAATAACAACAACAAATGATTTCTATAGATGCAACATTTCGAAACAAAAAAACCAATCCTCATTTCAACCACATCAATTTTTTGATTTTAACACAATCCATAATAGCTACAGATCATACAATAATTCATTAACCTTTAATCAATTTAAAGTTACTTTTAGCTAATTTCTATCTACTTATAAAAATAAATCACTCAAAATTACTCAAAGGAAACTACTCTAAATTCATGATTTATTTTGTGGACTTTTAATTATTTTATATTAACTTTTATTTGATTTCTTTTAACTATTAGCAACAATTACTCAAAAATTAACTAAAATTACTCGAAATTAGTAGCAACAGAACAAAATTTACTCAAATTTTTACCTATATTCTTTTAAAAAAATCTGATATAAATTTATACCGAAATTCATAAAAAAAATAAAAAAAACAGACCTAAATTTATGCCAAAATTCGTAAAAAAATAAATAAAAATAAATAAATAAACCTTTAATTCAACTTGTAATTATCTTCTAATCAATTTTAAAATAAATTACAATAAATTTAACCAGAAATTAAAAGTAAATCAAACGCAATTGGAACAAAAACAAACAAAATTCTGAAAATACTTGTTATCGAACTTCGAAAGACCAAAATTGAACTTCGAACTACTCCGAGTCAACTTTTGCTTCTTCAAATTCAACAAATTCAAGCAAAAAACACACAAATAAGTAATAAATTGCAACGAAATTGGATAAAAGAGTATGAACTTCAAAGTTTCGAAATAATACCTATTTTTCGCCATTTTTTTGCTAATTTTCGCTATTTTTGTTTCAAAACTGAATAAATGTAGATTATAGAACTTGAAGTGTGCTTATATAAAGTAATTAAGTAGTTGAAAATTGCGGTTATGGTGGTTTTTCGAAGATTTTGAGCAGTTGAAAATGGCGGAGGAGAGAGAGAGAAAATGGCGCCTGAAATTTTCGTGCCTCATTTAATTTGTCTGAATTAATTTGGGCCATTAGATCGCGCGCCTATTCTCTTAAATCTGACGCAGATTAGTTCTTAGTTCCTATTATAAAATTGATTTAACTTCACAATAATAATCGTTTCAAAACTTAGCTGAAACTCAATTAACTAGCTATATATAGTGACCCTTACATTAATATAGCAACCTTTCTCATACACTAATGGCAAAATAGACACAATGACCTTTATTAGCCTAGAGTCACCTTTATTAAGTACGAAAGTATAATATAAGCAAGTGTATTATAAGCATATTGTTAGCCTTCTCCTAGATTCACAATACCTCCATTTCACATGCCTTCAAAAGGGTAAAACTGGTCGTTAACCAAAGATACACCTATTTTTTTATGATTCATATCATTAGGGGTGTTCGCGGTGCGGTTTGTATTTTTTTAAACCGCACCAACCCGCACTTCTAACCAAAGCGCACCATAAAATGCGGTTTGGTGCGATGCGATATGCGGTTTAACCATATTTTCTTAAAATTATAATTATTTTTTCAATACTAAACTTTTATTTTATTTTGAGATTTTTAATTTATAATTCAAATATTAAACTCTTCTTTTTAACCTCTAATTAACTAATAGTAAAAGATTAGCTCATACTCCCTCCGTTAAGTTCCCATTTGTTTTTGACGTTTCGAATCATGCACATTTATTAAGAAATAGTGTAAAGTAGAGGTATTTTGGAATAATCATTGAAAGTACAATTCTGTGTAAAAAAAAAGAATATTGTACATGTGGGTTGAAGAAATTAGAAGAGAGATGAGAGAGAAAGTAATAATGAGTATTGAAAAACCAACTAAATAGTACAAAAAGTACAATTGCACATGCAAATTTAAACGTTAGTTGAGTATTTAAATTGTAAAGCAAGGGTAATTTTGTCCAAAATTTGTGACTAAAAGACGAAAGATACTAAATGTAAAGAATAAAGCGGAACACCTAAAATGAAAACGTAAAAAACAAAAGGGAACGGAGGGAGTGTTTTTTAGTTATATTTTTTATTGAATAAAAATATAGTATAAAAACCGCATCAAAGTGCGATTTGCAGTGCTATTTGGTATAAATTTGATGAAAGAATAATGGGTTTTAAAAGGGATATTGTTAGATTGGGTTGAATAGGTGCCCATGAGCTATTTTGCTGTGACAACAGCACGAATAAAATTTATTGTGACCAGGTATACCCAAGAATTTTGTTTATACCAACATTAACATAAAATTACCATCCTTATAACAATGGCCTTCTTTGTGATAATTACCTTCCATGTAATTTTTTTCTAGTCTACTTTCTAAAAATTTTTGCATAATATTATATATAGTTGTTTAAAATAAGATACTTAGAATATTCGATCTATTTTTGTATAAAAAAAAAAATCTATACAATATAAGATAAGCAAATTATTGAGTGATATTTGTCAATCTCACATTGAATCGCTTATCTTTAAAATAATATATAGATTGTGATACCATATTAATAAAATAAAATATAAAAAAAACAAAAAAAATTAATAAATAAATAAATAATGTTCAAACTGAAAAAATTACAATGGGAAAGTGTACAAAATATTACAGTATAAATTATTGGTAAACTCTTAAATAAATGTTAATCACATTAATTTATATGAATACTAATATTAGAGCCACTATGTTTAATTGTTGCTATTTTAAAATAAAAGTCATTATATTAATAAAAAAAAATGTCACTATGTTAAAATAAATGTCAACATGTCAAAATAAAAGTCATTGTAATATTATAACAAGCAATGACTATCCTTATTTAATCATCATAATATGCAATAACCATCCTTATATAACAACCTTTGCTATATTCAACATAACGTCGGTTGTCACGTATAATCCTCCGGTCCACAATTATATTCATACAAGTTTTTTCCATAAATTGTTCAAGATTAGAGAACACATTATAACAAATTAGATCACAAAAATAAAAGGCAGATGGAAAGTCATTCAACAGATTTGGGGTTTGATATTTTTCAATCAAAACTAATATGGGAAACACAAACTTTTATATGTGAGTTGTCACACCGTGTGACCAATCATTATAAGAGTTACTTTGTTAGTGCTATCAGGGTCACTCACTCGATCAGAGGTTACTTGGCCGGTTAGGGGTTACTTGGTCGGTCAGGGGTTACTCAGTTGGTCAGTGGTTACTTGGCCAATTAGGGGTTATCCGGTCGGTCAGGGATTACTCACTCGATCAGAGGTTACTAAGTCGGTCAGGAGTTACTTAGTCAGGAATTGTTCACTCGGTCAGGGGTTACTAAGTTGGTCAAGGCTTACTCAATTGGTCAGGGGTTACTCGTAGGTTAGGGGTTACTTGGTGTGTGTCAGCTGGCTACATTTATGTAGCCAGCCATACACAAAAGTTGCTTTATTGGAAATATGACAAAATAATGAAGAATTTTATTTACTCCTTAATTGAAATCCAGTTCAAATAGACCTTAAAAATTGAGAAGCATGGTAAATTTTGCTGTAGAAATTCAATGACAGAATATTTCGAATCAATAAAATCGAGGGAAATTTGATCAACGGAGAGTTTTGTGCATTAGTTTACGGTGACTAAACTTAGCACCCAGCTTCACAACTCATGTTAAAGATAAAACAAAAAACTTAGCCTTTATATTACACACTAGATCAGAAGTTCAACTCATATTCAGCATTCAGTAGTCATATCTTCATGGCATGTACTGTTAATTGTGCAGACAGAACTTCCCTCAGAATGATCTGCCCACTAGAGTTACTGTTGGAACTTGTAAGTCCTAGTTCTTGATCTTTTTCTGGAACAATTAATCCTCAATCTTCTCCCAGGCTGTTTTCCTAGTAAGTTGTCGCAGCCCTTTTCATTAGTCTCGACATTTGAACTAATCTTGCGTTTCAAAGTCTGACTAATGAATTCTTTCACAATGTCTACAGACTTCATCTCACCGGATAATACTACTTTACTATGGCTTTCCAATGCCTTTCCCGGCTGATTTCCTGGTAAGTTATCGTAATCCAATTCACTGATCTTGACACTGCAACTACTCTTGTGCTTCAAATTCTGAGAATTAAATTCTTTTGCAACATACATGGATTTCGTCTCACCTTCCATTGCCTTTCCAACATCTCTTCTCAACCGAGAAAACACACTAATCCTGGAAGCATTCTCAATGCTGCTTTTGCACTTCCACATTTTAAGCCTCTCATCCAGTCCTTTCAGTACATCCCCCAGATTGTCCACCTCACTACGACGATGACGTTCCTTTCCCAACACTTTCCCTAGCCCCGACAATCGTAGAAATGCACTTGTTCTCATCTTGTCTGAGTACAGCCCCTGAACCTGGAAGCCACTGGAATCATCAATTTTCTTGTGTTCTACTTGTGGTATACTTATTTTAGGTCCTGAAGAGCAGCTGGCTGGCTTTGAATAATCTAAATCCCACCCACCCTGAACATGACACCTAGTATCATCATCAACCTGCTTGTCACCATCTGTACCACCAACCTTTGTAAATGGCCACAAGGAAGATAAATCAGCACCACAAAGGAATCCTTCAGAAGGATCTTCAATTTCTTCAGGTTCTATTGAAGGCAATGGTATATAGTCGTCAAGGTGAGTTGCATTTCCATGATCAGGAGCATCCATGTTGCCTGTTTCCTTAGGAATTGATTCTTGTGATGTCTCCGTTAATAGTTCTAGATTTACTACAGATTTAGGATGTAGCACCATAGATTTTTCTATTTGTCTGCTACTCTGATTTTTTCTTTCCCTCACAGGAGAATTAGGGATCCTGAGCATTCTTTTCTCAAACAGAAATAGGAGCCTTCCTACCTGCATTTTTAAGCATACATAAAATTAATAAATAAGATAGGTGGGTAATGTGGCAATGCTAACTGGATGTAACCCCCAAAATTACCAAAAATATATGTACTCCGCTAATACTCAGTTCTCCTCTTTTCACTGATTACCCCCAATCACCAACTATACATCAAACAATTTGATATATTACTTCTTTCAAATTTAACAATAATATAAAGTAATAATCAATGGCCGTATTTCATAAAAAATAAAAAATTAAAATAACAGTACCCTGTGCACAGCCAAACAGAAATCAAGAGTGAAATATCAAGATGATCAATAATTTATTGGAAACATTAGACTAGCTAAGAATGAAGCAAGTGAAACTAAACGAACATGAGAGAAGTCCTTTATAGCTTTAATTCAGAGAAAAAATGCATGAAATTGTAGATATATATTCATGCAAAGTTGCATGAAGTGGTATACATTGGCAGACACAGGATTGCTACTTGGACTTTTTCAACCAGTGAAAAATATTAAAAAATATCTTTGGTTGCATATTCATAAAACTAGAATGATGCATGGTGTCAGCACCAGAATACAGAAAGACAATAACAGTGAGGTATAAAAAAGGGAGTGAGTATACTTGATCTCTAGATAAACCAAGATTGAATTTGAATTGTTTGAAGTAGTTTTCCTTTATTGCATCACCAAAAATGTTCTCTGGAAGAGGATCACAGTGCCAAAATGTACTGAAGCGGACCTGGGGTAAAGAATTATGTGGTTTACCACCAAAGAATTTAGGATATAACAGAAATATTTAAATGAGATTATAGAATTAAAAAAAATGTAGGATATGAATGTGATCTTGGAAACAAAAGACACCTGTGCTGGAAACTTCCTGTTTGATGTTGACTTGTATGCATCAGGGACTATATTCATCGCACCATCAGAGGTTGCCTCGAAAACCCCATAAAGCAATCTGTCTTGAAAATCAAAGAGAAACAAAAGCATCCCATTCTTAACTTTCATCACAAAATCAGCATATTCAGATGGAAGACCAAAGATTTCTCTTTCAAAGCATTCTTTCCTGGTGGAATTGCTTGCCATGAAGATAGCCCCATAGTCAGGAGAATTACTTGGAACTCTTTTTCTGCAAATACTTTCAGAAACCTTAATCTGTCTGAACGCTGACGAAACAAGTAACAGAACAGCTAGCAGTACATCACAATAACAGGTATAAAATAGAAAAATATTCCAAAATTTAGTCTTCAAGGGGGTAACAAGACTAAGAATTTTTACAAGGTACACACAAATATCAGGGAATGATAAGCATTAAAACAATAGAGTAATGTTATAGGTCTGACATTCTATTAAATATGCAGAACCATTTTTCCAAATCTAACATAATAGAAACAAGAATATAGGTCGATAAATCTGCAAGTTCATTAAAAATAAAACTGTCTAATTGTTTCTACTTCCTTAGTTAAATCCAATTTTTAGATTATAAAATCAAGAGTATGATGAATACATTAAGCTCTTACTTAATGTTTTTTACATTATCTGTAGGACTATCTTATTTTAGTTCCATGGTACAATCTTTTATGAAAATATATGTTCTTTATAAAGAAGAGAAAATGTTCATTTTTGATGAGTTGTAAGTCAACTTTCAAGATCATATTGGGTTAGGAATCTTAGGATATAGTCTGTGTTACCCTAGGCTTTCAACAATTAGAAATTCCCATTTCTAGTTTCCTTCCTCATTCACATTGTTGTACCTCCCTTTGTTAACCTAGTTCGCAAGTGAATTAAAGATTCACTATTATTTGACTTTTGGTTTATAGTTGTTCCATGAATATTTACAACGTTTACTATTTACAGAAGTTTTGCAAATATAGCATCGTTCGTCTTTTATTTAAAAAAAAACATTCAAAAAAAAAATATTATTTCCTTTCACAATCAAATATACAATATAACCTTATGTCAATTAACTTCTAGATTCTTCTGTCAAAAAGAAAAAAAGAAAAAGTTAACTCTTCCTTACCCACTTGGGTTTTGTAGGTAATTCACAAGGGTTTTGTAGTCCTTTCTCACAATTTACCCAATTTCTTAAGGCTTTTGCCCTACCCCATACTGCAATATTTTTGGAGCCAAAGAAGTAATAGGGTAAATAGGAATGGATCATTAAAGGATAACAAAGAGTCATTGAGTATTGGGGCAATAGTCCATACATAAAAATCTACTTGCTATCATATAGGTAGTATGCATCTAGCCCTTTCACCCTCCCCTTGTCCTTTAACCAAAATGGAGGTATATCTTGGAGTAATGGAGTATGTTGTCGAAATCAACGTAAGCTATTAATAATATGTTAGATAATCTTAGTTACACCTGTTCCTTACATACTTTATCAAAAAAAGACTTCATAAACCTTCAATGTTACTTTTAAACTTTATTTTCTTCACCTTATTTTCACTTTTTTCAGGAAAAATCAAATATGATAATTAAAAAAAATAGTAAGTCCACTGAAGAAAACACTGAAGAGCTATTCGGGCCTTCAGTAAGTCCACTATCCTTCTGCAGTCTTTTTCCATACTTGAATTTACGTGAAATTTCTCTAAGTATAGAACTTCAGCATTTCGATCTTTCGTCTTGTGAAGAGTTTTTCTAAGTATGTTGCTTCAGCTTTTCAATATGCATGTTACCACTTGTGTCACGACACGTGTCCTCCCCTATGCCAACCAGGCAAAACGACCACCTAGGCCCAATCCTTGGAAAAAGCCCAGTCAGCCCTAGGTTAACCTAAACTTAGCATTTGGCACGCATCCCAAGGCATATAAATATGATCATTAATCCTCATTGGAAAAAAATTACGTTCATTAATTACTCTCACCTAGAGAAAACACTCTACCTTTTTTCCGCATTAATTACTCCTTAAACAAGTACTAACTTGACCGTCGGAGGCGGAACTCCCACCACAAGGAGTCTCCGTTGTTTTGTAGGTACAGGCGCAAGGATACCAGTCCCGGAATCGTAACTCTCCCGCAGGACATCAGAAAACCCCGAAACATTTTGGCGCCGTCTGTGGGGAGAGTACTTTCGAGATGGCAACCAAGTCTGTACCAAATCCAGAAGAGAGGCATCCAGAGGACGACCCTCAAGTCTACTCAGACCATGATACTGAGAATGAGGTTGAGGTTGAAACACACACGGCCTCAGACGGGACCCTAAGGGCCCGACACACCCGTCACACTGAAAGGAAAGAACGGGTAGATCAACAAGCTGGACCCAGCAATCCAGCCGGCACACCGCCTAATCAGCAACAGGCGGCTGAAGGATCCGCTCCTATTACAAGAAACGAACTCATGACCTTCATGAGGGGGTTCAAAGGAAAGATCCAAGAGTTAATCAATAAAAAGACGCCTGCTTTCTCTAAGGAGCAGTCGGCCAGAAAGCCTTCTCATTCAGGAAGAAGGAAACCTGTTCAAGGTCGAGAGGCGACCCCCACCCTAACTCTAGGAAGTGGGAGCCGCCTGTGATCGACTTAACAAAATATCGTTTTCCCTCACCAGGGAAGAGGAAGCCCATTCGTCATGTACAAGCGGATGGGTCAAAGAAAACATACTTAGATGCTCGGCTACTGCTAGAGCAGAAGAAGAATGACCGACTGTCAGAGTCGGCCTCCACTTCAGACTTCCAAGACAGTTTGCACAATACCTCTATGAGGTATACTCAATCAAATTATGAGAGTCAGACAGGTGGTACCTCCCGTCGGTCTGGATTTCATAAAGAACAGGCGGTACCAAACATGCCATACGTACCGCAACAACAATACTTCTTGCAGCCTCCTCTGTTTGGAGGTCAGGCGGCAAAAAATGTCTAACCTTTGGACTGGCAACTACGGTTGCTAAGACTAGGAGAACAACCGTCCGCCTTCTCCAAGGAAATTAAAGAGGCCGCCCAGCCGGCCAAAGTTAAAAATGTGCTAGTAGGCGCCTATGATGGCACTACTAACCCTGAAGATCATTTGATGGCGTTCACCAACCTAATGTACCTTCAAGGGTTGGATGATCCCACTTGGTGCAAGTGTTTTCCAGCGACTCTCAAATGAATCACACAACAATGGTTCGGCAACCTGCCGACTGGTTGCGTGAACAATTTCAGGACGCTTGCTTACTTGTTCACCTCCAACTTTGCTATGAACATTCCTGCAAAAGAAGACGACCCTTGATTTAGGGATAATTCAACAGGGTGAAAAGGAAGGGCTCCGTTCATACATCAGGCGATTCAACCTGATGAGGATCCAAATTCAAGGGCTGCCAGATGAGGTAGCCTACACTGATTTTTTCAGAGGTCTCAAGGATGGGTCAACCTTCAAGTTTGACCTGGTACGAAAGAGGGTTGCGACTCTCTAAGAAGCTTTGATTGAAGCAGAAGCCTATGTACAGGCTACTGATCTTTGCAATATTGGGAAGCAGTCGGACGGACGGAGGTTCGACAAGAAAGAAAGCCGACCGAAGCAGTCGGCTAATAAAGATGAGAAAAAGAGAAAAGAAGTCTGGGAGGCCGACTACTCTAAAAAGCCGGCCCAGAAAAAGAAAAAAGAGTTCAAACCATACTCTTGGAAGTATGCGTTCAGCAAGGATAGCCAAGCTATCCTCAAAGAAATCAAGAGTTGGATCTCAATCGAGAAGCCGGCCCCCTTGAAGGGTTCTGCAAGCAATCAGAACCAAGACAAATTATGTCATTATCATGAAGCTGAACAAGGCGACCTTGACTCCTATGTCAAGAAGTCTAAGGGGAACACTTCCTCAAAGAACAAGTAGTCGGCCAAAAAGAATCATCAACAAGCCGATAGTTCTGATACAGATGATGCAGTCGTTTACACTATTGTAGGCGGCTTCTTAGGAGGCGGCCCCACTATCAGGGGCAATAAAGACAATATCACGCGGCTAAATGTTAATTCCGTTCATCAAGAACGGACCGCCAAGAGTTCATTCCCAAAAATTGTCATCACAGAAGAGGATATGGGAGGGGTTAAGGGGCCGCATGATGACCCCATTGTTATTGAGTGCAAAGTGGCCAACCAAAGAGTTGGCCGGATCCTTATAGATACCGGTAGCTTCTCTGATCTTATCAGCAGCAAGTGCCTGGCAAAGCTCAAGTACAAGATTGATTGCATACATCTGGTATCCCACCCTCTAGTAGGGTTTGGAGGAGGAGTCGTACACCCAGTAGGGCGAGTGGATTTACCCATCCGCTTGGGTGAGAAAGGGGAGGGCCGTCACATGGTGGTCCGGTTCTTAGTGGTTGAGGAACACTCGGCCTATAACATGATCCTAGGACGACCCACCCTGAACAACTCTAAAGCTGTCATTATCTCCTCTCTTATGCTGCTCAAATTTGAGAAGGATGATGGAACAGTCGGCTCCCTAAGGGGAGATCAGAAGATGGCTCGAGAGTGTTACCTCTCGGATATCAAACCCACTGTGCCGCTGCTTGCCCAAGTGGTGAAAAAACGGACCTTGAAATTATCAAGGAGGATGCGCCTGCTCAAAAAGCAGGCGGCAAGAAAAGAAAGGCTGCCCAATCGGGAGCCGAAAGAAAAGACAAACGATAGCAATCACTGGCGGAGGAGCGGTCGGATGAATTCCGTCCTCAGCCAGCTGGTGAGCATACGGACGTAGTGCTGGACGACTCATGTCCTGATCGAACGGTCAAAGTTGGGATGACTGCTCTTAAAATTCTGGGTGAAGATTTTCACCAACTTTTGAAGGAATTCAAAGACATCTTTGCATTCGAGGTTCATGAAATGCCAGGCATCAGTCCTGACCTGGCGGTACATAAACAGGTTGTGGATCCGAAAAAGAAGCCGGTTAGGCAAAAAAAATGGAACCATGGCGAAGAGAGGAGTCACGCGGCTGCTGCCGAGGTTAAAAAGCTGCTTGATGTCGGGTTTATTCGGCAGTGTTATTTCCTTGACTGGGTTGCAAATGTGGTACTAGTAAAGAAGCCAAATGGTACCTGGCAAATGTGTGTGGATTACTCAGATTTGAACAAGGCATGCCCCAAAGATAGCTATCCTCTGCCCAAAATTGACAGTCTGGTCGACTCAACAGCCAGCCATGCTTTAATGAGCTTCATGGACCCTTACTTTGGCTTCCATCAGATTCCTTTGTGGAAGAAAGATCAGCAGAAGACGACCTTCGTCACTGATCAAGGGCTATATTGCTACACGGTCATGCCGTTCGGTTTGAAAAATGCCCCGGCCACCTTCCAAAGAATGATACATACGGTCTTCTTTGATCAAATTCGAAGGAATGTCGAGGCATACATAGATGATATGATCGTTAAGTCCAAGCTTCAGACAAATCATCTAGCGGACCTCCGAGAAACATTCACCACACTCAGGCGGCACATGTCATGCTCAATTCTAAGAAATGTGTTTTTGGGGTTGAGTCTGGGAAGTTTCTCGGATTCCTCATCAATCAAAGAGGCATAGAGGCGAAACTTGAGAAAGTGCAGGTGGTCATTGACATGCAGTCGCCTCGCACAGTCTGAGAGGTTCAGAAGTTAACAGGTTGTCTGGCGGCCTTGGGAAGATTTCTCAGCCGCTCAGGCGACAAGTGCCTTTACTTTTTTCAGGCAATAAAGAAAAAGGCAAGGTTTGAATGGGGGCCGGATGCTGAGGCGGCCTTCCAAAAACTGAAAGCTCACTTGCATTCCTTGTCAAGGCTGGTCAGTCCCTTGCCCAAAGAAGTGCTTTACATGTATCTGGCAGTATCTGACCATGCTCTAAGTGTCGTCCTCCTTTCTGAAAGAGACGGCTGCCAGCTACCGGTCTACTTTGTCAGCCATGTGTTGAAAAATGCCGAGTTGAGGTATCCCTTAGTGGAGAAATTTGGTCTTGCTGTCTTCATGGCCGTTAAAAAGTTGAAGCCTTACTTCTTGGCACATTCAGTCGTCGTGTACACAGATCAAGATCAAGCGGCCACTGAGAGCCATGGAGTCGTCAGGCCGGATGATCAAATGGGCAATAGAAATTCAGAGCCTCGAAATTACATTCGAGCCCAGGAAAGAAGTAAAGGGGCAAGCCTTTGCTGACTTTATTGTAGAAATGACTCGGCCCTTTGATTCTCAAATTCCAGACCAAGTCTAGAAGGTTTATGTGGATGGGAGCTCCACCTCAAATGGTTGTGGAGCAAGCGTCATATGTCAGTCGCCAGAGGGCGACAGGTATGAGTATGCTCTACGTTTCAACTTTGAAGCCTCAAACAACGAGGCAGAATATGAAGCTTTACTAGCCGGAATCCGCATGTGCAAGGCGGCTGGGGCAAGAAAGATAGACGCCTGTTCTGATTCACAATTGATAGTGAGTCAGTACAATGGCGAATACGAAGCAACTCATCCGGCCATGATCAAGTATTTACATGCGGTACGACAAGCAGTCGGATCCCTTGAAGATTTTCATCTGACTCAAGTACCAAGATCTGAAAACAACCAGACAGATGCTCTTTCAAAGTTAGCATCCTCAGGCCTCCT